TAACGCCCAGACAAGACATTTCCTAGTCGGAAAGCTAAGTGGATTCACAAAGCTTCGCAACACAACTTTGAAGGGGATCAAACGTGAATGAGATTTAGGTGAGACAGCTTGGACACTGCGACATTATTTCGGTTATGATGTACCTCGTTTCGACCCTGTAAATGGATATGCAATATGCAATTTGAAGGCTCGAGATATTTCTGATTTTTATGAGGGCTTAGATCTTCATCTTGAAAAAGATAATAATGAACGCCTTGACAGATCATGCTTCTACCTCTAAATATATACCATTCGCCCAGCCTATTGTTGAGATGCGACCATGTGGGATCTGCACAGATTTATGGGGCATCTTATAAACTAACTTGCTGTCCATTGACTGATCTTTAAAATACCACTTCACAATGTCTTATCTCATTCATTTTCCAATAACGTCTTTACTTGATCCTCATTATATCCCATTAAACCTAACATTTTATGGCTCTTTATGAATTTGACGCGACTTATTTTATTCCTATTCTCTGGAGGGTACGGATGTGTACCAAATAGAAAAAAAGGCATGAAATAAAAACAACTGGCTTGAGAATAATTGTATTAAAGCCAAAAGTGGACATCGTGATAGTAAGACCTATATGGGTAGTATTATACATTGCAAATGAACGTTGTCGGCCTACGGATTAATTACTTCCCCATTCTGTCTCTTATATAAATGTATTTATGACTGATATATTGCACTTACTTAATTTATTACATTTTAATGATCCACCTTAGCACTTTTACTTTTCTAAAACAGCTTTCAATCCCTTGTAAACTTTGTACTTACCTCAATATTGGTTGGTTATCGTATGCCTACAACCACGGGATGAAAACGAAACGAAGTCGATTTTCCCGCTCAACCTGGAGGACAACTGTACAATTCAATAACTTTACGGCCTGGTTCAGACAATGAGTGTAATTATATATATATATCAAATATTTAACTGTTGAAGCAGTAATAACTTGTAGACAATATAAGATTTGACATAATACCATACTTGATCGTGCCTGTAAAAATGGCATGCATTTTCATGTAAATTTATGTTCATATGAAAATAAATTATTATTATTATTGGATAATGATATAATTGTCCATACTGTCGTATATTTATGTGTCTGTAGTTTATATTCCTAGCTCTCGTCTTCAGTACAGAGCCACCTAATTTTGCTGCAATCAGTGTGGGTTGTCTGTACCACATGAAACTAATGGTGACATTGAAACTGAATGAACCCTCTGTAGAATATCGTTATTGTTCGGACTTCAACGTGATGTAAGGTTAGTTGATTCTCCGAAGGCAGCCTATAATAGACCGTGAGTTTTTCCGCCAGCTAATATCCACAATATATTTCTAGTGCAGGAACCGGCTAAAGATGATTACTTCGAGTTTATCTGGAAAAGCAGTCCTACTCGTGTGGTTCAATGTCCATTGGAAGATTGGTGCCTCTATCAACGTCATTCTCGAGTGCATACAGTTCTGGAGACATACCCAAATTGTCTTTTGGTCTAACATCCTTCGGTTCTGCTTCACCTGTTTATTGTACAGTTATTTGCATGGTTGGTTGGCGATACTACACTAGAAGACCGAAGAATCTGTGGTTCTCTAATCACGCGACGAGGGTGAGCAGTATTATCCAGTCCTTATGAATTACCTTTCTCCATATCGTGTGACCTACCATCACCATGGTAACAATAATGTAGTTACTCCAAACATTACTGTGGTTAATTATAAATCATTTAAATTAATCCCAGCGTATTAAGGAAATCAAAACAAGATTTTTCTGAACTTTTCGCCACGTAAGCCACAGCTTCTCCAGCAGATTTTTTTCGGATTTTTATTAATCATCAAAATACATAGTCAAAATTTTTTACATGAATTGAAGTCGGTTTATTTGAAAGTCATTTGTCTATGGACATTTCTACCAATAGAAATAAGTAAGCAGTCATCACATATACATGTAATGTATACTTTTCTATAGTTGATATGTAAGGATTAGTTTTGTATGGGTGTGAGTTCGTAACACCTACGGTTTGGAAACTTATATCGCTATGGTTACATTAACCCTGTCCCATTTGTTGACAGATTGTTCCACCTGAGACAAACAAACTTCAGAAACTCTGAACTTTTTTCGTTCGTTTGTTCAGAATCCATTGAGATAATTGGGTCATTGGGTGATATAGAATCAACGTACACAAGATTAACATGGAGTGGACTAAACTTCGAATGAATAAAGTTTGTTGTGATATCTACGGAATGAGTTTCGCCTTACGGTAAGAGTATTTAATGAATCTTCCCCCCTGTTCCGACCAATAATTTACCTTCTTTGAAATCACAGCAGTTTTCGAGGCATTTTTCTGGATTGTTTTCACTGTCTTTCCTTAGTGCATTGTGTGGACATCTGTCTCAGTTCCAATATTAAATAGCCACTATTGATGTGTTTTGCGTGTGTCATTATGGAAGCTGTAATACTCACTGTAGAAACCTACTGGACCAACAAGTCCGAATAGTGAATCATGCAGAGTGCATAACATGCCATTTCTAAGAGTATGAACAAATGGATTACGGAAATATAGCGCGGGAACCGCAGATTTCATAGTCCTGCACACATGGAATTATTGGCAAATGTCATCTTCAAATGCTGTAAATGAAATCTAGATCAGGAGATTTGTAAAATCTATAAAATAGCAAACAATAACCTATTTTCACATGCTTTCTTTCCACATTCGTAGCCAAATAGTAGTATGATAATTTTCATTTAATAGTACGAACAGTCAAAAGGCAATGAATACGTCTCATGGGGTAAGAGATGGGTGAATTAATATTGTGTTACCACATCAAACACAACTCTCAAATCAAAAGATAAACGCTACTACATTCACTTGGTTTGTTCGGGCATAGACAAGAATAAATGCATCACTCTTCAGCATTTTACAGAGTGGGTATGAGTCAGCAGTAGTGCACTATGCATAGTGTCAGCTATATACTGGCACCATAACATGGCACCGATAAACTCCAAACTGCAATCTCATTTGAGAGATGATCTTCTTAAAGTAGACCGCAGAAATACTCTAGAAAGTATTTACACTCACTTATTTTCTTTGAAATGGAAGCTGCCCCTCCATATTGCTAACGGAAGAGTCAATCTTCTCCGGTCATCCAGACAGCAGTTATAGCCACACTGGGCCAATGGTCGTCATGGTGTCATCAACAATGTCGGAAGGTCTCAATCAGTAAAAACCAATCTTTACCTTCATGTTTATGACGGCAAAACACTACTCGAAAGGTTGGAAAGTTACAGCTATCCAAAGCTACGAGTCTGCATCAGGATGCAGACTCAGTGGAGAGGGTTAGCTCCTACAGATGACTTCAAACGATAGTAGACACGACCCAAGTCAGATAGCGACACTAAAATACCAGTCGATATTATCGGTGTCAAACTTCAAACAGATGACCCAGGAACAGAACTCATCACAGGTCAGAAGGCTCTCGGAAAAAGGAACAGTGATGTCCCTGTAATCGCCTACACTTTTAATGATCTGAAGACTGAGGGCAGTGTGTGTGAACAAAAATACGCACAAAAGGAGGCATTTATTTCACAAGATGGGCACACTAAAAGTCAGACATTTATCTCAGTCTCAAGAAAGTGTAGACGAAGCCTGAGGCACACGAAACCGAGGAGAGGAGAAAATATGGGCTCTGATTATTATCTAGCACAACGAACCTTTAGGTCCAATTCGACAGCCTTCAAAAAACCTGAAGATGGAACAGTTCCAATCCCACCCTGGTTCAAATACAAAGTACATCTTCACTGTACCCATCACAGCAAGGTTGGGGATACTTTCTGGGACTCTTGCTGACCATGGTCACTGGTTCGATCCTCTGCCAACACACACCTGAAATATATGGTCGGCCTGCAAAATTTGAGCTACTAATATCACATGCTGAAAATTCCATACCTTTACCAAAAATACGGTGTGGAATCAAGCACTAATAAAAAAACATGCTCAATGCAGGGAAGGTGAATAATGTCCTTATCAAACTGCAGCACCACACATTATCGTCAGGCGGAGCTTATGATGGCTTCGAAATCTCTGCCCTAACCTCATCGACCTTAGATAGGCCTTCGAAGCGTTGACCGCGAAGTACTATGGGGACTGTTTCGACGCTGCAATGCCCCGTACTTTTATCAGCCTTAACGAACAAGTTTGTAACAACGTCAGATGTCAAGTAATTCACAGAGTAAAACAGTGCGAAAATTTGCTGCATTCAATATGAAAAGCTTATTTTGGGCTTCCAATGGCAGTGCGAATTTAGTGATTCTATATATTTCAGGGGCTAGTCACTTGCTTCACACGAAGTATTTCAACGGGCTTCTGAAAGTTAATATGAACAGCCCCTTTGCCTCGATACCAAAGATCAAATGGCCGGCTAGTTGTAAAAGATAAGCAATAAGGAACCTTATCTATCATCCAGCCAAAAGATAACCTGGGCCCAACAAATATACCGAAGGAAATGAAAACAGACACACATATGAGGAGACCGTTGGCTGATATCGCGCGCCAGGCTGCGAATGGATGCCGAGTGGGAAAAAACAAATCAGACGTTCGAGAATGGCATGCAACGGGAAAATGAGAACTTATGGACGGTGGTGGAGCTAGCTGAAGAGGATTACATAGGACAGGATGACACGGAAATTGGCTGTTCAAGTTGGAACCCACGATGATAATGATTCCCGAGGGCAGAGTTGGGAAGCAATGAAAAAAATAATTTTTAGAAAGAAAGTTGGCCAGCCAAATTAAAATTCCCCCTCACTGTAGTCTGAAAGGTTATGGATTGATATCTGGCCTACTTCCATTGATCCCGAAAACAGTAAAATCTCTAGCACACAATTCCCTTGTAACCCTCAAGAGAGAGAGAGAGAGTTGAAACGCAAATAAATGTAATTTTTTTGGAGTAAGAATTAGAGTAGGGAACTTTATAATGTTTTTCTTAATGTCACGAACATCATTGGACAACTTGATGTAGGTCTGTGTTTCACAAGTGTGAAACGCGTGCAGCGCGGCTCTCGAAAGTCTCACGGTTTTGAGAGATGAGGTAGGTGGTGACGAGTTAGTGAGGTGTATTCTTCTAATTTTAGTAATTTACGCACACAGAAACGTCTGGCTGCGGCTGTTTTTGGCTGTGGGAAAAAGAAAATATGGCTTGACCCTAATGAGACAACAACTATCCAGAATGCAAACTCGCGCAAGATGATTCGAAAGCTGTTTAAAGACAACTTGATAATTCGTAAACCAGTCACGATCCACTCTCGTTCGCGGTGCAGGAAGAACCTACTAGCTAGAAGAAAGGGTCGTCATGCTGGTACTGGTAAGAGAAAAGGTACGGCAGATGCTCGTATGCCCCAGAAGATACTTTGGATGAGACGAATGAGAGTTTTGAGGCGTTTGTTGAAGCGTTATAGGGAGGCTCACAAAATCGACAAGCATCTGTAAGTTACATTTGTTGGTTGCTGACTATTCCAGGTATCATTTATTGTATCAACAGTGTAAGGGAAATCAGTTCAAAAACAAGAGAGTGCTCATCGACCATATTCACAAGAAAAAAGCTGAGCGTCTGCGAGCCAAACAACTAAGCGACCAAGCAGAAGCAATGCGTCAACGCAAACGTGAAGCTCGTGCAAATCGTCAGCACAGGTTGGAGGAGCGCAAAAAGGCGGTCATAGAGAGCTTTAATGTTGCCGTTTCTAAACCAGCTCCATCAGTCGTCCCGAAACCTGCGCCCGTGCCAGAAGCCAAGCCTAAAGCAGAGACTAAGGCTGCGCCAGCACCTGCTCCGGCTCCAACTCCCGCACCTCAACCAGCTCCTCAAAAGGCACCAGAGCCTCAGAAGCCAGCTGCTTCAAAGGCATCTTCAAAAGTAGCACCACCACCAAAAATACCTAGTGCAAAGACACCAGCTGCACCACCTAAAGTCCCTACTCCTGCTGCATCCAAGCCAACAACATCCAAAAAGCCAGCTAAGCGTTAAATCTAAATAAATTTTGAATGGTAAAGTTCCTTCTTTTTCTACTCAGATGGTATATGTCAGTGTTTCTACTATGTGTATCGTGTTGTATATTCGTTTTCCACTCCATGATAAGGAACTTGTCAAACGTGCTGCTTTTTTATCAGTGTCTCAGTCGGTATCTAGTGAGTCAGGCAATGCATTGGGTCCCTCATCCTCGAGTTTTGACACCCGACATGTATGTTAAGGCAACCAGTCTTGATATGCAATAATTCTTATTGATTCTCTTTCAACTTTCGTCACTCATACCTTGACATACTCAAAGCCATGACCTCGACTCAACTGGTTTTACTCAAAAATTTTGTATGATATGATACGGGGATTCATCAACCTGAAGTGCCATTCTGTGAATACAGCTCTAAGAAGCTGCAACAACTGTTGAGTTCTGATCATATCAGTAAATGGAGTAGAGTAGATCATCTAAGTTACAAAGTAGAATGTGTTTATTGCAGTGTTATCAAAGAAAGGGTTCGGTAGTCCCTTGACTATCAAGAATTAAAGGTATTTTGAATTCTATTTCTCATATAAAAGTCCCTTTTGCATCTGGAATCCCATTTTTCAACATCTTCTAATCGTAAGATTTGTTCAGGAGTGCTATATCAAGACCAGTTAGTTTTTCCGCTGAAAGCATCTGCGCGAAATAAACATGCCTCTGATGCTAAATACCATCGTTGATTTACTCGTTGCATAGAGCAGTGTGATGTGTAGAGGTAGGTAGAGTGTATAGTACATGGTAGAAATACGATGTTAACCAGCTATGTTGATCGCGGCGTTCGGGATGTTATTCACATATGGGGACAACGGTCTTCTTAAGTAGAATTTCAGCTTGAGTGTGACCAGACTAGAAAACAGTTTAGAGTTATGTTAGGCAAGAAAGCCGTTTCAAATGTCATTCTTTGGTCTGTATTAATTGAAGAGATGGTGTTGCATGACTACTTTTTGGTGTGCAATTTCTTAATAAAGCTTCTGAAGGTGTGCAACCAATTCAGAGCAAACAGTTATCAGGTTGGCCTGCAATATATCTTTCTGCTAAAGTCAAGTCCGCTTTTTCATTACTTGGAAACGAAATGGGCTGTAGGTTTGTTGAGCAGAGGTTTGTCTTTTGCCGTGCCAGTTGTAGGTGCTTAAAACCATGTAACTAATTGAGACTTCTCGCGCTGACTCAGCTTCCGGCATCTTTAGTAATCGTTCCGTTTAACACGTTCATCAACTTTTCCTGACCTGTTCCTGTGTAATTATATTTGGCATATATTAGTTTGCTAAGCATAGCCCACAGTATTTTTCCTCTCTCACAATCGAGGTCTTCATCTGTAGCAGAATCTTCCAAATACTTTCCATGGGTGTCTGAAGATTCTGTTTAGTAGACAGACTCGGCCACAAGTCAGATATTCTGATTGGCGACTCATATGCGTCCCTTTATGCTATTTGATATTTTGCATAACTGCTACTAATAAGCGTACGATATCAGAGAGCTATGCGATTTAGAAAATTTCTGAGAATTATAACGAATTCTCATTGTAAATTAGTACTCTGGTTGGTGAATGAAGTACGTCCTCTGATAGTTTTGTTCAGACTATCCTTAACTGAACGTAGTGACTTAGGAATCGACTTGTTACCAGGGAATAATCTAATGGACTTAGAATATGCAGATGACATAGTCCTGTTAGGGGAGGATGATGACAAAATGCAGAGTCTTCTGAACACCTTGAGCAGCAATCTTCGTATGTTTGGCATGCGATTCGCCCCTGCAAAATGTAAGATGCTGCTACAGGACTGGACCACGTCAATCCCTAACTTAGTGATAGGGAGTGAAGTGATAGAACATGTTGACCACTTCACCTATTTGGGAAGTTGTATTAGCACCAACAGACTGATTGGCGACGAAATCTCAGCACGGATCCGAAAAGCTCGAGCTGCTTTCGCTGACTTACACCATCTCTGGCGTAGGCGTGACATCCGGTTATCAACCAAGGGACGTGTGTACTGCTCATCAGTTCGCTCCGTCCTTCTCTATGGCTCTGAAACATGGCCAATACGCGTTGAAGACATGAAAAGGTTGACTGCTTTCGATCATAGATGTCTGCGATCTCTTTCTCACGTTAGGTGGTTTAATAAGGTAAGTAATGTTGACGTTAGGCGTAGAGTGTTGGGCGAAGAGGGAAAATCAATCGACGAGGCTATAAAGTTACATAGACTAAGATGGCTAGGTGACGTGGTGCGCATGCCTAACCACCGCCTCCCCGACGGGCATTGCTAGCTGATATAGGTGCAGGTTGGAAAAGAGTCAGTGGTGGCCAAAGAAAAACATGGCCTCATCAATCCATGAAATCCTTGACAGTTAAACTGAGTCAGGTAGGGAGATGCAGACTTCCGGGTTGGGGCCCTCGGGACTATAGGAATCAATGGCTGGAGACAGTAGGTGACATGGCTCAAAATCGTTGTCAATGGCGCAGATGTATTCAGTCTCTGTAATCTTTCATATTCCTTTCTACAATTACCCATTCTGTTTCACTCTTATACTTGTCAGACTATTGATTCTCTTCACTCATCTTCTTGTCTACCTTGTGTGCCAATTGGAACGTGGCAACTCGAACTGCTGCACTTTGGTGCCAAGTTCTATGTTGAATCCAGACAGACAGTTTTGTTCAGTCCTACAGTTGTGTCTATATTAGTTGAAAACAACAGCCTTTACAACACCGATCCATTATGACGAATCCAAGAGTTCTTTACCAGAAAGACGTGAGTAGGCTGTTGCTAGAATCCAGCTTTAGGCATGCGTAAATGGTAGTACTCATAAATGTAACCCTGTAAAGACGTTTGAAGAAAAAGATAAAAAGTGCAGATGTTAGTGAATAATGTTTGAAACGGATTTTTATCCCATCTGCTATTGTGGTTCATGTGCGTTAACATTATTATCAAAAATGGGAAGCGGATGAAATAGGTAGTGGTGCGTGCACGTTGGAGTGTAGTTTAATTGACCAAGGAGAGATGTCTTGCCTGTCTCGTAATTTAAGGTATGAAATCGAATGAATCAGACGAATTCTATTGGCAAAAATGGGGTGTAGGAGGTTGTTAGGTGATTGTGTTTGTAGGCATGTGAATCAAAAAAGCTCTATGGACAGTAGCTGAGATTACCGGTGTCGCAGTTGTCATGATCGTAATATTCAAAAATTCGTAAGGAAATACTTGCTTGGTGGTGGCCAACAGCGGAATTCAGAATATGTGTTTTGCCTCATTTGTGTTTGTTGGGTTGTTGTCCTTGTTTATCTCAATGGAAGGTGGTGTTTCCACTGCAGCCTGGCAACATTCATCGCTTGAAATACCTAAGCTTTATTCAGTGGGCTTCCGAGCCATGGGAGCCATCTCTTGTGCGAATAAGTAATTTCGAGTTATTTATGTTAATATCTATCCTGAAATGCGACCTTTGTCAGGTAACTCCAGACATTAAGAGGGAATCGTAAATATGAACAGATGATTCATATTTTGAGGTTACGTAATGTTAACTCAAAAGTATATTCTGACCTGGTATTGTAACGTGTCACAGGAAAGAAGTACATAAGTAACTGCAGTACCTTAGAAATCCTGATTACTTCTCGGGTAGAGTGGAGACAGCTTTTTGGCTGGAGCACTTGGCTTTCAGCCAACAGGTCCTTGGTTCGAGTCCCACTACATCTACTGAACAACTTGATAGTATCAGCTCTCATACAATGATTGGGCGGCTTATAGCTTAGGACACAAAATATCTGCTCTGGGTAACGGAGTTAATTCATTAATAGGCCTTTTCCGGGTAATCAGGGACTAACGACGCATTTGATTGAAGCTACACAAAAGGGATATTGATCTTGTGATCTTTATTTCTTGGAGGTATGCACTTATGTTTTAATTCGCTTAGGTTCCCAGTGGGACGTAGGGCTCCAGCAGCACATCTCCGTTTCATCCGGCTCATTGCAGTCATCTGTGGCTGGCTTCACCACTGCCGCCAAGCACTCGTCTCACGATCTCCATGTAATTGTCGGGTGCTCATTTCGTTGTCTACCATTTGGGTTCCACTCTAGCATCTGAGGCGTGATGTTATTCAACGGCCCCGTATCAATCAGATGTCCGGGAATCGTGCTTGGGAATACTTTGCTGCCTTTCAGACGGAGACTCAGGGCTAAACTCAGAAAATCGAGTAGACACTGCTCTCATATTTTCCTGTGTACTTGCTTACGCATTTGTAGGTGAATCGGTAAATGCAGTTGGAGTTTACATGCGGCGCAGGATACTTATCCACTATTGATTGAGTCAGGGAGCATATCGTGTTGTGAAGTGGAATGTGTCTGGCGGTGAGGGGTGTTTTTTTCAATGCACCCTTAATTCTTTTTCTCGGTTCTTATGAATACTTCACCTTACGTAGAATTCTCAATGACGTTGGAATTAGTCGGCGTGGCACTCAAACCAACCAACCAACTCTGTCAGAGATAAACTTTGTCGGCTTAAGGACCCAATAGATCCAATTAAAAAAAATAATATGATTTACCAAATACCATGTAATGACTCTGAGGTCAATTACGTAGGTCGGTGGCACAGTGGTTAGGACTCTCGACGACCATGCACATGGTCCGGGGTTCGAGCCCACACCGGCGCACACCAGATATCTATGGTCGGCCTGCGAAATTTGGGCTACCGATATCCACGCTGAAAATTCCATACTTGTACCAAAAATACAGTGTGGAATCAAGCTGTTACCAAAAATAAAAATAAAAAAAATTAGTAGATCAGTTAAATAACCTAGAGAAAAGCTCGGCTATTGTACTGCATTCACTTGCATGTAGTCAAAAAATAGGGTGAGAGTATTAAAAAGTAATATAGTTAGGTGGAGACAGAGGTTAATCACTGGAGCTTTGTTTATCGAATCAACATCGCACACATACAATCAGAACGACTCAACTCCTGTACCCGAGATATGGAAAGTAACAACATAGGGAAGTTGGAGAGACAAAGA